GAATTATTTGAAAAAGATTTTTTTTATATATACAAACATACATGTCGCTGATAGTTTTGAAACCTGCAGGTGATCAAAAAGTCTTTGGCCCCCAAGTGGCGCCAAAAGTTTTACTTTGCGATCAACCCTGCGACAAAGTACGCCAACACCGTCGTGAAGCTCCGCTGCGAAGACCAAGACGTGTTCGGAACGGACTTCATGGGGCTTGTCGCGATCGACGTCCGCGAGTGGATCCAAAAGTTTGGCGGCATCAAGACCGACTTGTGGCTCAGTCTAGGCCCCAACACAAACAACCCTACCCGCGCCAGTAAGATTAGCCGTGAAATATTTTTTTATTTTTTTCCGACGACGGCATTAGATTTGAGCGAGGAAGAGCCGTCGGAACTCGGCTGGGGCCAACTGCATGTGGCCATCGAACCGTGTACACTGGACTGTTCGTTGGATCGATTGGCGCAAGGAGAAACGGACTCGGAGGTGTATGCGGCGGGTGACGGCGGCGAGAGCGGCGCCAACGGCACGTTGGAGGAAGTACGTCATGCATATATATATATGACGAGAATATATGGATAAACGTTGTTTTTGTGTTGTATCCACGATCATCACACATGAACCAAAATATGGATGTAGACGCCTGAAAATGCCAAAGAATCGGACGAGGACATTCAAAAACGCGAACTCGAGCAAAAGAAAATGATGGATGAACTGCAACAAGTCGAGTTTAAGCATGGCGATTACCAGGTCCAAGTGCGGGTGATTGAAGTGCGCGACTTGGTGCCGCAGGACGCCAACGGGTCGGCGGATCCGGTTGTGTTTGTCGAGTGTTTGGGGGAGACGCAGCACACAGCCGTCAAGCCCAACCAGCTCAGCTGCGTCTTCGACCACCTCATGTTCTTCAACTTCAAGGACCTGGACAAGGACACGGTCGAAGGCGCGTCCATCCAAGTGACTGTGCAGGACGCCGACGGACCGTTTTCACACGACAAAATCGGGACCTTTCGCATCGATGTGCCGTACGTGTACTACCAGAAGAACCACGAAATGTATCGGCAATGGGTCGCCTTGGTCAAGAGTGCCGGCGACAGCGAACAAGGCGTCCAAGGCTACCTCCTGTACGATATCATTTGACTTGTTGTTGTTTGTGTTTCGACCCGATTTTGTCCTCACTTGTTGCTTTGGTCCCGATTTTGTCACGAAACGCTGGTGATCCCCCTCGATATGTTAGAGAGTGGGGTGGATATTCCCACTTTTGTCACGAAAGTTTGGGTTTTAGTTGGTATTGTGACATGTTGTGGTGGCTATTTGGACTGACAGAAGTGTATCTATATACATATGTATATATATATGAATATTTAGGCTCAAATATATATATATATATATATTATATATGAATATGTAGACTGATATATATATATGTAGGTTATCGATTGCAGTGCTTGGACCAGGGGACAAGTACCACATCCACGACGTCGTAAAGGCAAGGCAGTCAATATATATATATATCCATGTAT